CAGTAAAACTACTGGAGAACAATTGCCACAGAACTTACTTACTTACTAGGGATGTCAATTTTCACAAATTCCCATGATCGATCGTTGTTTTAATTAACGATCAATTAATTGTTAGCGTTAATGGCAAACAGCATTACAGGGTCTGCAAATGCTGCTCAAAAAGCTATGTTCCTCGCCAAATTAATAAGAATGATTATTAATCTAAAAAAAGGGTTGGTAGGATTGTAAAATGTTTTCATGTGATTGAAAAATTAAATGAATTATTTAATATATAAATATAACGACAAATACAATGTGTCACCAACGCCACCTCAGATGCGTGCTCCTCAGATTTGTGACTGTTTTGGACATGCTGGATCAAAAAAAATAGTGTTCTCATTTTATGTAATATGACAGTCAAAAATTAACCATTGTTATTATTAGTCGTGCATTCTGCTTGAGTGTCGCGCGCTGAATGAATAACCGCTGAGCACTTTGTTAGCATTTATTTAACTCAAAGAAATGCATCCTATTTGATAATCAGATATATACAAAATAAACATAATCTTACAAAATTTTATCGGCACAAAATGACTTGAATGCACGAGTGAACTTAAATTAAGTTACGTGCCATTTATAATGGCTCATGTTGTGGTGGACGCTTTCTTCCTGGAACAACGCGACATGGCATCTAAACCCAAATAATTCACAATGTTTTATTACAATATTGTTCTCTTTATAATCTTGTGTAATATGACAGTCCCAATAGTCATTACTAGCCGTGCATTGGCGTTTGAGGTGAGCGCGCTAAAGATCATGCCAATTCGTTACCAAATGCATCCAATATGAGATAAATCAGATATAGAGTACACAAAATAAACTATTACAACTTACATTTGCACAAAAAAGGCTGCGAATGTACACGCAAACTTATAGTCATGATGAAGGTGTAAAATAGTCCCAAACAACTCCGGTGTGTGTCATTCCGGTGTGCCATTCAGTGGGACTCAACACTTCACCACACCGGCGCGCTCGCTTCCATGTTTTGTGGTTGAGCAGCACGCACGCGCGTGATCCTGCTTTTATCGATGATCATTAAGTTTTATCGATTAAACGTATTATCGACAATTAGTCAATCGTCGATTAATCGTTGACATCCCTAAACTTTACATTTACCTCAGGAAAGCCGTTTAATGAACAGCACATTAGTTGAGAGTATTTTGCTAAATATGTGCACTATATTACATATAATACATATGTTAAATTGTGAATATATATTTGTTATTATAATGAAAACCACATTATATTTAATTTCTCTCTGTATGTTTACAGCATTATATGAGATATTTTTTCTTGAGAAAAATTAACATGCAGACTGCAGCCTACCTAATATTAAAGATTGAAATCAAACCCAAGAATTTAATTGAATAATACAAACAGTAGCCTACCAGTCATTGTACCATGTAAGCATTATAACATGTTGTCACTAAACTTAATAAAATTCTGTTTCGTTATCATATGTTTTGAAAATCACATTTACAAACTTGGATGAAAGGGTTGTTTTTTTGTTCAAACCTCATCAGATTGTGCTACCAGTATGAAATAAACGAGTAGTATGATTTTACAGTGCAAAATGCCTCATCAGACTGTCCTACCAGTATGAAATAAACGGGTAGAATGATTTTACGTTAATGTTTTCATGAAAAAAATGCTAAAATGAATTTGCTTTGTATGAATGTGAGAGTAAACAGTTCTCATTACTGCTATATATCTTTGTATAGTAATAATTGACAAAAATAGTGAAAAACTTACCTCAGATGAAGAAGATCTCGCGCAAGTAGTAAAATATTATGGGCGTGTTGTTCAGCGTGACAAAAAATGACGTATTATTGATGTGCGCATGCGCAGTAAGCCTTGGTAGGACAATCTGACGGGTAGGATGGAATGTCAGAACAACTGGTCATCCAAAAATGTTTTTAATGATATTCGGGTCGCGGTCGGTCGGGTCGTTTGAAAAAAGATGCCAATTAAACATTTGTATTAATATAGTACTAGACACAATTTTTGATGAAATATACAGCGCTACACATTATTGGCTGAATAACTGGCACGAAGATAACACACAAGCTCAGTCTAAACAGTTCTCGGTTCTATACTAGTGATTCGAGAACCGCTGTCCCTGTGCGTTCGGTATACGCAGTATCAGCTGCTCGTGCTCATCACTTCTCTCAACAGTGGCACCAACATGTCTCGGTTCAGTGAACTGTTGGAGTTACTGGAGTAAAATATAATTCAGGATATTGATTTATTTCGATTCGGGGGCGACTGTCAGGCATGTCTGAAAGTAAGTAACTTTAGTAACTTGTGGATCAGCACTGACGCAAGACGCGAACTGTTTCGAACGATTCAGTTCGAGTGTACTGGTTCGACCGGTTCACTAAAAAGAACCGGTTCAAAAGAACGATTCGTTCACGAACCAGCCATGTCTGCGATGATCACAGTCTGCAGAGAGATGGAGGCGGCAAGAGAAAAGGTGAAGACTGTGGAGTGGAAGCTCCGCAAATACACACATAGAAAGAGTAAAAGTGTGGGAGACATTTGCTGAAATAATGAAAGATGATGACCAATGACCAAAGTGCTGGCTTTGCCTTTGTTATGTGTAGGCCTACGTCTTCTTGCGATGCTGTGTTGTTACACGTCTATGGCCCAATAACGCTCCGATGATCATTTACTACTTTAAAAAAATGCGGTCAGGAAGTGGGTCGGGTACAATGTTTTTTTTTTTACTTTTTTTGCGGTCCGAGTTGCGGGCGGGTAGCTGAAAACGTCGGTCGGTTGCGGGTTGTTTATACATTGACCCGCGCATCACTGATGCCTATGCACCTTGCTGAATCAATGCCACGTAGAATTAAGGCAGTTCTCCCTTTCCATCCTCCCTTTACATAAAACCAAATGGGATGTGGCACTACACCAATCACCTATATCTATATGTCATGATCACATCACTTACTTAGGCATTAAGATCTCCTCCTAACGTCACACCACTACTAAAAAAAATTGCTTTGATGGCTCAACCTTCCAATCTCCATAATCGGCAGGATAGCAGCAATAAAAATGACGATTATACCAAAAATGAATGATCTATTCTCAATGATTCCAACCCACCCCACACTCACCTGGTTTAAATCACTAGACTCCATAATCACTTAGTTCTACTGGAAAAATAAAACGCCAAGGATAAAACTCACTATACTACAAAAAATGAAGGTTCAAGGACTAGAAGCACTAAATATTTCAATATTACTCAATGGCTAACCAACTGCAATACATATACAAATGGATTCACCCCACCCAATCCGATATTATATGGCTAGAAATAGAACAATCACTATGCAAAGAATTAAATATAGCTGACACACAATTCCTCACCAAATCAATCAAACAACACATGTTTTAATGCAGTAACTATATCTGCCACTCTGACAGCCTGGTGGCAATTTTACCAAATCACAAATGCTACATTAGCTCCATCTATCCTCACCCCACTCTGGAACAACCGTGACTTCATAAGCAATAAAAAACACTAAATTTTCGCACATGGGCTGAAGGGGTATCACCCACATTAATCATATTTTCAATCTAACACATTAACAACACTTCCGCAATTGGCCCAGGAGTTTGGCATTGAGAGCAATTAATTTTTAAAATACATACAACTCAAATCTTCTGTTCTGGCAAAAATAAACATCAGAGCCGCAAATTTAGAACTTCCAAAATCAGACTTGGTTAACATTTCCTCTCCAAAGAAACTGCTCTCTAAAATATACAAAATGATTTCAAACCAACTTTAGACCATATACTTACTGACAATAAAATGGGAAAACGATCTTTCATTAGCTCCTGATGCCAACTTCTGTACCCAAATCTGTAAAAAAACATCTCATGTCCAAAAATGTGAATCTTCAGTTAATACAATACAAATACTTAACGGAACACACTACACGGGCAATAGATTAGCTAAAATTGGTTTCACATCAGAAGTTTGCACACATTGTGATCACAATTCTACAGATGCATACATCCATGCAACCTGGCACTGTATTCCAATCAAACACTTTTGGGAAGAGGTTACACAGTCACTATCCACTATAGTTGGCGACCGCATCCCACTGTCACCCTCTCTTTGCTTGCTGGGAGACCTCACAATAATCCCTGATAAAACTATAAACTCTAAAATGTTCCTCATAGCTCTAACCATCGCCAAGAAAACTATCCTCATGAACTTGAAACAAAACTGAAAGAACTGAACAGATTTTTTTATTTGTCTGTCTTCAAAAGTTATGGTGTCGCAAACTTAACGAGATCCACCCGAAATTGGCTAAGAGGCTGTATCTTGGCCAAAGTTTGATCAATCGAAACAAAAATTGGTACACGTCATCGGAAGCATGTTCTGAGGTTCCATCCAAAGTTGGGAATAGCGCCACCTACGGGTCATGATATATGCAAAATTGCTATTTTGGCCAATAACTTTTCAACAGTTTGTTAGAAAATCATAATTGTGGTATCTATGGATTCCTTGCATCATGCTGAATTCATGGATATCGATTTTGCCCATGATGGGATGTACCAAGTGTCTGCCATTTTGAATTTTGTCATAATTTGCAATATCTTTAAAACTATTTAAAATTTCTTCACAAAATTTGGTTTAGATCATCATTAGCATGGCATACCAGAGAAGTTTGATCATAAAAGTTGCTATACCACGTGTCATGAATCCCGAACCATTGCGGTCGTGGGTTCTACTGGGAATCAATAAAAAACTTTAATCATAAAAAAAGAATACTAGTGTTGACTCCTCCAGACTGTAAATCAGGGCAAAATTCTGCTAATTTTGTGTAGTGTTTCCTGCTTTTACCAAAGGAAAATTGGTGGTGAATGGCATTTTAAATTGATTTGAACATTATTTTTAGCATTTCCCTGTCTTGCAAGTAAAAACTAATTTTGTGCTTCATGTCACACAGATACTCAGAGAGATGGATGTCTGCAAGTTCCATTGGGTTCAGAACTGTCAGAAATTCAAGTAAAAATGGAGGTTGCCACTGTGATGCCCCATGATCCTTTGAGACAAGCTTCTACCAATACTTCTCCCCTTTCCGAAGATTTTAAATGGCAGGAACCCTCTCACTGCCTCACACTTCTGCCAAAAATGCTGTCGAAGAATGAAGATATTGGTGGTACAGATACACAATCATCAATCGCATTTGGTACAGATACACAATCATCAATCACAGTTAAGTCAGAGCTGTGTGAAAATCCGGCTAAACATTCATACCCATCTGCAGTGCAGTCTGGCAGTGATTGTCATGTTGAACCTCCAGCACCTAAACAAGACCTGTCATGTCTTCAACTTCACATTGAAAATTCTGATGAGATGTCACAAAAGGCAATTGAAAGTCACCAAAACACACTAATGTGCAAGATTTGCAGAAAAGTTTTCAGCACCAAAGGACATTTGCAGAGACACAATTTAGTGCACCAGAACCAGACACCTTTCCGCTGTGGTTCATGTGGGAGTCGTTTTAAATCTAAATTCCACTTGAAAGAACATGAGAGACTCCATGCAGGTGATTATCACTAGAGTTGCCAATCAGATTTTGTCAAATGACACTGTTTGTTTGCTTCTTTCTTAATCCTCAAAAAATAAATAGATAAATACAGGTTGAATTAGGCAGGTCAATGAATTGAGGCTTTAGGCCAAAGAATGAAATTAATTCCCATTCTGTGATAACCAATTTCAACACTGTTTTTAATAGAGGGAGACACATACCCATTCTCACCTGAGGCCTCGTGTATAAAACTAGGTGTTGTAAGCTCCCATATATGGTTATTTCAGACTGATCTCATGAAGTAGCGTGTCCATTTTTGGCGTGCTATCAAGACGCATAATCGCTTTTCAGCGTGTTTATGAACGCCGTTGACGTAACATTATTACTGTATATATAAATATATGACTTACCTCAACCCCATCCCTAAATCTAACAGTCACTGGGGTTAATGGCATTTATGACTGTTCCCTTACCATCCTAGGAAAAAAAAAGATATGACTTACCTCAACCCTGTTCCTAAACCTACCCGTCACTGGGGTTAATGGCATTTATGACTGGTCCCTTACCATCCTAGGGAAAAAAAAGATCGCTTCCAGATGTAGATCTACATTTTGCTTTGTTTCGCGTGGACATTTGACGGCGTGTACAGACACGCGGAATCACTCGGACGTTAATGGCGTAGACATACACGCATGCACGCGGATAGTTCAAAATGCGTAGAGATAACACGCCACTTGTCTCGAAAGTGGCGTGTATGTTTACGCAAAAGTCATGATGTCATGTTGGTTATTTCAAGATGGGAGATGCATTTAGCCTACGCACAATCTTCTCCTGACAGGTTTTATAAAGGGAATTTTGTGCAGGTTCTGGCATACTTTTGTGCGCTCGCACACTTTTATGATGAAAACTATGTAAAGTTATCTAGTCTGGCTAACGCTGGGTCTGGGAACCACAAGTTCATTTTCTCGTATTTGAGGCGTGGTTTATGAATGCCCAGAGCTGTTTATTAGGTGCTAAAAATGGCTATCAAATGCACCTGTACGTAGTTCATAGCCAATTGTTTGAATTATACTAGATGACGTATGTAGGGCGACAGAAATTAGACAAGGAAGAAGACGATGGTTCAGAGATTTATGTGTATACGGTGGCGTGCATCTAACGGCCGTTTCAATGTGTATCTAGTGGCGCATATTTTTTCCGGCATGCATGTTAAACAATGAGTGCTTTCACACCGGGAGCAGGAGCAGCGCTTACGCGTCGAGCAGGAGAGGCGCGTGAGCAGCAGTGAAGTGGAGGTTTCGGCATCAAATCTGTTTTTTTTTTTTCTGCACTGCTCAGTTAAAGTGAAAGCACACTTGATGGACAAAAATAAATATGATTTCACACAAAAAGTGCCCAAAATGCACAGAATAAGCATGTCTAGTGAGTTTTAACAAGAACTTGGAGGCAAATAAAATAAAGACTTACAAATATTTATAGAAGATTTAGGCTACCCAGTAAAAACTTAATTATCTTAATTGGTCTTAATTATTCAGTTTGGATAATTTTATATATAAATATATAAAAACTCAAGTAAACTAGCCAGAAAATATTATATATAAATGTTCTTTTAGTTTATGTAACACAGAGACAGCTACGTAGGCTAGCACAACCCAAATCAATGTTTTACACCTCCCCATAATAAACTTTCAAGACAATCAGTGTTATAAATGACCAACTTCTAAAAACAAATGGATAGTTGTCTTTGTAAATAATTGTTCGCTTATGTAGCTTTGAATCCGCTGCTGTGACACTGTACAAACGCTTCCAGTGTGAATACTCTCGCGCAGTGACTATTTAGTTACGCTGACACACTGCTCAAGTGCTGCTCATGCTTGCGGTGTGAAACCTATGTGTGAAACGGGCGTAAGGCTGCATCGAAAGGTAAATTCGCGTCTGCTGCCATGTTGGACCCATAGGCAACAACCTGCTTTGGTGTGTCGCATAGACATTGTCATCGTCTTGCTGATCCATCCCCGTTCTGTGATTGGTTCCCTAGATGAGGCGAAAATAAGGACCATGGTTTCCATACTGCCTTACAGTGTGAATAAAATTGCACTGCAGCAAGGCACTATGTGGAAACCCTGGCTACTAGTTTTCTACATCTGCTTATCATTTCCATGCATATTCCATCCACATGATACCATGTTCAACGGTACAAGGCATTAAGAAAATATGAGATGCGTACAAAACTCGCCTAAAGGATTATTAAGAACACCTTTTCAATTTCTCATGAATGCAATTATCTAATCAACCAATCACATGGCAGTTGCTTCAATGCATTTAGGGGTGTGGTCCTGGTCAAGACAATCTCCTGAACTCCAAACTGAATGTCAGAATGGGAAAGAAAGGTGATTTAAGCAATCTTGAGCATGGCATGGTTGTTGGTGCCAGACGGGCCGGTTTGTGTATTTCACTCTGCTCAGTTACTGGGATTTTCATGCACAACCATTTCTAGGGTTTTCAAATGGTGAATGGTGTGAAAAGGGAAAAACATCCAGTATGCATCAGTCCTGTGGGCGAAAATGCCTTGTTGATGCTAGAGGTCAGAGGAGAATGGGCCGACTGATTCAAGCTGATAGAAGAGCAACTTTGACTGAAATTACAACCGAGGTATGCAGCAAAGCATTTGTGAAGCCACAACACGCACAACCTTGAGGCGGATGGGCTACAACATCAGAAGACCCTAATGGGTGCCACTCATCTCCACTACAAATAGGAAAAAGAGGCTACAATTTGCAAGAGTTCACCTAAATTGGACAGTTGAAGACTGGAAAAATGTTGCCTGGTCTGATGAGTCTCAATTTCTGTTGAAACATTCAGATGGTAGAGTCAGAATTTGGCATAAACAGAATTAAAACATGGATCCATCATGCCTTGCTACCACTGTGCAGGTTGGTGGTGGTGGTGTAATGGTGTGAGGGATGTTTTCTTGGCACACTTTAGGCTCCTTAGTGCCAATTGGGCATCGTTTAAATGCCACGGCCTACCTGAGCATTGTTTCTGACCTTGTCCATCCCTTTATGGCCACCATGTACCCATCCTCTGATGGCTACTTCCAGCAGGATAATGCACCATGTGACAAATCTTGAATCATTTCAAATTGGTTTCTTGAACATGACATTGAGTACTAAAATGGTCCCCACAGTCACCAGATCTCAACCCAATAGAGCATCTTTGGAATGTGGTGGCATTGGAGCTTCGTGCCCTGGATGTGCATCCCACAAATCTCCAAGAACTGCAAGATGCTATCCTATCAGTATGGGCCAACATTTCTAAAAGAATGCTTTCAGACCTTGTTGAATCAATGCCACGTAGAATTAAGGCAGTTCTGAAGGCGAAAGGGGGTCAAACACAGTATTAGTATGTTCCTAGTAATCCTTTAGGTGAGTGTGTATGCCGTCACACTACATTGCTAAAAATCGTTCAGTATTCTTGCCTTGTTTTAGAATAAATAAATAAAAATGTTACAACATTTCAGAGAAACATTTTCTCTGAGAAACGTGTTATAACATTTCAGAGAAAAGAGTTATTCTCAATATTTTCCACTGTCCAAATTTTATTTAATTAGTATTTAATTGCTTTAAACAAATACAATTTATGCAATTTAGCCCATAAGGTAAACATATACAGGTCCTTCTCAAAAAAATTAGCATATCGTGATAAAGTTCATTATTTTTCTTAATGTAATGATAAAAATTAAACTTTCATATAATTTAGATTCATTGCCCACGAACTGAAATATTTCAGGTGTTTTATTGTTTTAATACTGATGATTCTGGCATACAGCTCATGAAAACCCCAAATTCCTGTTTCAAAAAATTAGCATATTTCATCCGACCAATAAAAGAAGTGTTTTTAATACAAAAAAAGTCAACCTGCCCACAGTGCCCCCAGTGCCTACATGTCTCCACTCTGGCACCTTTAAAGAGTTGATCAAATTTATAAAAGAGGTTCTACATTGAACAAAATTGACACCACTGTCACAATTGCAAAGGGAGTTTATTTACTGATTTGACACACTTTGCAACATGCTTTACAACGCCATTAAAAGCATGCATTTACTTCCATTGTTGTGATTGAGAGACCCCTTGCAAATTTGTATAACCTATTTAGTTGGGGTGTTTTCAATTCAGCAAAAAGAAAGAAATTCCAGAGAAATTTCCTATTTATTAAAAGAAAAATTATTTTTAAATAAGAACGAGTTTTCCTACATCTTGAAAATTTTAGTTTTATAAATGGGGGTAATCTTTGAAGGATGAACGAACAATGTTTTGGTCATCACATTAAAAATATCTTTTTAAATATAATACTATTTGAGTTTTGTAGTGCTGGAAAAAAAGATGTGTGATTTAGGCTACTTTTTTGCCAATCTTCCATGGTTACAAGTTAGTGTTACTACTACATTAAATCCACGGTGAATGTTGCTGATCTGTGGACTTAAAACCTAATTCATTCACACTAAAATAAAAACTAATTCATTCACACCTCGTCAGCTCTGTTTGATCGGTTAATAACAGAGAAATGTTAGTGCTTCTCACTAGATCTCGCAACAATGTTATATTCAGTGGCGAATTCAAAAGCTTTGTTTGTTTACTGGATCAAGAATCAGCTCGCGCTGCACTGTTGTTGATGGTCCAAACTGATAAAGGTCCGTAAAGCACAAAATGAGTTTCGTTCTGCTTTCATTACGTTTGCCATTTGATGTTGCACAACGTTAGGTGGTCGCGCCAGTGCAGATTTTGGTCGGCAGGAAAAATGGTCCAACTGTAATGGTTCGGTTTGTAATGCGAGTCGGAGTCCAAGTCGTGTCACGAGTCCAGAGAATGGAGTCTCTAGTCGGACTCGAGTCAAAATCCAGGACTCGAGTACTCCATCACTCTGGCAGACTCAGCCACAAGACCACGCTGAACGTGGTGAGTGCATGTTAGAAACAGGAATGGTGAGGGTTAGCGATCTTCAAATCAAACTTAGATCTCCATTCGACAAAGTTTAAATCCTGCCTGTGATTTCTTTCTGATGAAACTTCCATTTGGTGGTGAAATAATGAATTTGTGTGACGTTGTTCCAGAGAGGCGTGTTTTACGGGCGGTTTTTAATGAAGCACTGTGGAGCTTCAGGCCTAACGGTGGAAGATATTGGCCTTCATTCATAGTACTTAATAAAAAGATGCCATTAAACAAATATTTAAAATATATAGCCTTTGTTGTTTCTACGTTATGTTTGATATAGAGTGTGAATGTATTACAATAAATATAAAAAATAGAATTAAAAACTTAAAAAATATATATATATATATATTTTTATTATTGATTGGGAGCACTAGTTTTTAGCAGATAATCATATTTGTAGACTTAATTACAATAACATTTATTTCTTTACAGAAAGGCGATCAGAAGATCGGTCCGAAGAACCACTGGACTCACAGATCTCCCATGTTGAAGTAATCCTGCAGCCAGACCGTGTAAATGTGGACACAAACCCACGGCACTCTCCTAAATTTATATTTTCTGATCAGGGACCTGGGAAATATCCTTTCAATTGTAAGATTTGTGATAGGCCATTCAAACGTCAAACGAGCATGAAAAACCACATGCTTTTACACCAAGGTGATCGAAACTACCCCTGTAAATTTTGTGGCAGAAGATTCTATAAGAGCTGGCATCTTACAGAGCATTTAAGAATTCACACTGGTGAAAAACCATTTGGGTGCAATAAATGTGGAAAGGGGTTTGTTCAGTGGAATCAGGCACGATCACATATAATCAAGCACCATGAAGGAGATATGTCACTGTTATCAAAGGAAAAAGCCTAAACCTATAAATTGGCTTTTGTTATAACCACTTCTTTAGCAAGAAAATTAGAATTTCTGATGTACATTTCTAATAATAAATGATGCACAGAGACATTTATCTCAGGTTTTGTAGATGCACATACTCTTCCTACATCCCATGTCTGTCATTTAAAAAAAGTAATTTTGCTTGCATTTTGCTATTTTGGTATACATGGTTTCAAAGCAGCTTTACAGATTTTTTTACAGACTAATATATTCAATTTCATAGGTATTCATTAGCCTATCGTTATTCATTACTGACATGCCAGCTGCATAAAAGGGCTTGATACCAAGGTGTGGATGTGAGCAAAGTCAGTATCCCTTGTCACTCGAGTTAAAGGACAACTCCGGCGCAAAATGAACCTTTGGTCTAATTACACATTGTTACCTAGTCAACCGTTATCTGAGATTTGTTTTCATGATTGCCGAATGTAAATAGTTTTATCTCTAAAAACAGTTAAGCCTATAACGCTAGTATAATGCTAGTATATAGGGCATAGAGTAATGACAAATAAAAATCGCTTGTTATTACCACTAACAAGGCTCAAAATAGCCCCACACTAACACGACAGCATAACAAGGGTCCCTACATTCAAACCGAAGCATTGAGAACGTTGTTCGTGTCCATACAATTTAATAAGAAGATATTTTATACACACAGTCAACTTCGCGAATACAGGAAGAAGCCATCTTGGAAAAATAGTCTCTACCAGTCGATCTACGAACGCCGATCCAAGTGCGCTGGTGAGATGTGAATAAGGTGATAAAGTGAGCGCGAACAGTAGGCTACGTGTACATATTGAAGAGAAGAAAACGGTTTGTGTTTGTGTTTCTTCTGGAAACAATGGACCCTATGAGATTCTGCACAGTTCAGCGCACTTGGATCGGCGTTCGTAGATCGACTGGTAGAGACTATTTTTCCAAGATGGCTTCTTCCTGTATTCGCGAACTTTACTGTGTGTATAAACTATCTTCTTATTAAACTGTATGGACATTGACAAAGTTCTCAATGCTTCGGTTTGAATGTATGGACCCTTGTTATGCTGTCGTGTTAGTGTGGGGCTATTTTGAGCCGTGTTAGTGGTAATAACAAGCGATTTTTATTTGTCATTACTCTATGCCCCATATACTAGCATTATACTAGTGTTATAGGCTAAACTGTTTTTAGAGATAAAACTATTTACATTCGGCAATCATGAAAACAAATCTCAGATAACGGTTGACTAGGTAACAACGTGTAATTAGACTAAAGGTTCATTTTGTGCCGGAGTTGTCCTTTAAGGCTGATTTATACTTCTGTGTCGGACCTATGCCACAGTCTCTATGGCACATGCGTCAGTTTTCATTTATACTTCTATGTCGTTGTCTGCATTGACATGCAATTGCACATGCTGACAGCTAGTAGGCAGTGTCCACGGGCATGTTGATGGTGTAGTAGTCCCTAACCCACAGTAGAATTATTTGCTATCTGGGAGTATTTAGTTTGGCAAAGATGTGTCATACAGATGGACATATCTTTGAACTTTCTCTGCCAGTCAGTAATTTACTACTTGTTTAAGTTGTTGCTTGTCTTTGTTTAATAATTTGGTTGATTTGTGTTTGGGTCATTAGCTATGGGAATTGTTTGGTTTTGTTCTTTTTGATTTGGCAACACTCTTTTTCCCCATGGAATCTTTTTTCTTTTCTTTTTTAAAATTATTTCCGTAGCATTTTTTTAAAAATAAACTATACATGCATTTCAACTTCTCTGTTTCATGGACTGATTCTGCTGTCTGCAATAATCTCAAATTGTATTAGTCATTTATAGTATGTGCTTTACTCAGATCATCTAAGTAATTTATATTACATCATGTCAGATGTTAAGCCGCATGTGAATGCAAACACCTCAATACTTGGTAGACAATACACAATGGCGGTAACATTTGATGGGTCGTTTTTGTGTTTGAATGTGTCATTTTGAGCAAAAGATTTACTCGAAATGTCACAAAATGGCAAGTTACTAATACTGACAACAAAAATCAATGATAAAACAGTGTAAATGCAGCTGGAAACCCGTGAAAAATGAGCCTCATTAATTATTCAAGGTCCAGTGCATGATGGGAACCCCAGTATCAGAAAAGTTGAGTAATTTTTATTTAATTTTATTGAGTTGATATTGAGTTACACTTTCATTTCTACTCGCTTGGATTAAGTACTGATATGGAATTTACTTAGTTTTTTTATTCCTGCCTGAACTAACTTTTTTTTGTTTTTTTGTTTTGTTTGTTTTTTTTTTCACTAGTATTTACTTCACCAAAAAAATCATTTTTTACAGTGTAGTCTTCCGACACTATCACTGGTCTTTTGAGCATCTTTAGTACTTATATTTTTCTGCTGTGCAGCATATATCTGACACAACTCCCAAGTTGCTCTTTGCAGAAATATAGTTTTATTCATGGCCGGGAGATCACTGGCCACAACAACTTTAGTGAGTATCTTGAACATTAGATACATCTACATTTAAATCTTTATTTTTATTAGGGCCCAAGCCCTGAAAGGGCGAAGGCCCTATTGTTTTCCTTGGGATTATTTTTCTTTACTATTATTATTATAATTAGGGCCCAAGCCCTGAAAGGGCGAAGGCCCTATTGTTTTCCTAAGGATTATTTTTCTTTAGTATTATTATTTTACTACCTTTTGGGCACTTTTGGAGCCCTTAACATGCTCAAAAACTCTTGAAACTTTGCACACGGGTCAGAACCCGCGGCCATCAGAGCCGGGCTGAAGCTGGTACCTGGGCGTGGCAGGGGGGCTCGTCAGCGCCCCCTGGAACGGGGTCCGAACACTCGGTCCATAACTCAAACACGCTTGCATGTAATAATATGAAACTCGGTACACATGTTGATCTCATCGTTTCATCTATACCTCGCGCTCTTACTTTTTACCCCAGCCCAACAGGAAGTCGGCTATTGAGGTTTGTTTGTAAAACGCTCGCAATGGTATTTGAAATACTCCTCCTAGAGCTTTGATCCAAATTCGACGAAACTCGGTCAGCGTGAAGTCAAGACATTGAGGATGAAAGTTTGCGAGGGGATTTTTGATATCTCGAACGGTTTGTCCGTGGCGAGGAAATGAAATCATGGCGAGAAACGTGAAACAGGAAGTGTGTTATAACTTCAGCATACATTAACTGATCTTGATGAAACTTCAGCAGTGTGTTCGCTGTAAGAGGACGATCACATGGATGTGACTATTGTGAGTCAAAGTTATAGCGCCACCAACTGGCAGCAGGAAGTGTGTCACTTTCAAAATGCTTTGAAATCACCCTTTTATTTTTACCCGATTTGCTTCAAACTTCATCTGTATAATGTAAACATAGGGCAGATGTAGACCTGTGAATGGATTCTTGATATCTTTGAAACTGTTGCCGTGGCAACGCATCAAACTTTACCATTCTTTTAGGATGCTTTTGAGACCCTTAGCATGCTTTAAATTGCATGAAACTCGACAGACACATCACATTTATTAGCCAGTAGACATGTGCAAAGTTGCAGAAACGGGCGTGGTGAGGGCTCAGTAGCGCCACCTTTTGACAAAAGTGGGGTTGTTAGTTTTATCTACAGTTACAAAAATCGGTATGTATATTGTACTCCTCGAGCCGGACAACTTTCTAATTGACACTCATTAGCTAGGACCCACAGAAAGTCAGATATGTTTTTTTGAATGTAGAGAAAATCTCAGAATTTTGCCAGTGTCTCAGTGTCCCTCTGTGTGAGTGAGAGGAGGGGCGCCTGTCAGGTTAATTTTAACCCTTTATTTGCTGTGTGCGACTTCTCTGGCATTTTCGGGGGCCTTAACATCCTCGAAAACTCTTGAAACTTTGCACACAGGTCAGAACCCATGGCCATCAGGGCCGGGCTGAAGCTGGTAACCGGGCGTGGCAGGGCGGCTCGACAGCGCCCCCTGGACTGGGATTCGAACATTTGACCATAAATCAAACACACTTGCATGAATTAATATGAAACTCGGTACAATTATAGATCACATCAGGCCAAACAACTTTCGTGCTCTAAGTTTTATGACAGTTCAAATGGAAGTTATTTATGAATTATGAATTATGGGTTGTTTGAATAATTGTCCTAGGAGAAATACATCAAATCACAATGCATGTGTTTACCAATCACAACCAAACTCGGTGTGCATGAAGTCAAGACATTGAGGATGCTCAATTCCGGACGGATTTTTGATATCTCGAACGGTCTGGCCGTGGCGAGGAAATGAATTTTATGACTAAAAAAGGACACATAAAGTGTGTTATAACTTTGCTCATTTTACCTACAGTTACAAAACTTTCCATGTATATTGTTCTCGTCAAGCCGATCAACTTTCCAATTTAAAGTCATTCGCTCTGAGCAACAGAAAGTCAGATATTGTAGTTTGAATGGATTTATTTCCCCTGCGATTCTCTCTCTCTCTCTCTCTCTCTCTCTCTCTCTCTCTCTCTCTGTGTGTGTGTGTCTGTGTGGGGAGGGGAGGGCTGTTGTCTGTGTTTATGTGTGTGTGTGTGGCTGGCTGTGATTTTTCCTACAAGTCCTTGTCTCTAAGTCCTTGTCTTTTTGCATAACAAATTGCATAACAATATTTTTAAATGACAAAATAGGCATATAACCCCCATCTTTTAAATGTATAGTTTGCTTTAAATAAAAGTAAGATTGTATTTGTAATTGAAGTTGAATGAATTTAAAATTCATGTGCTATATTTCAATATATTTGTTTTCCTTAAGATTTTAAAACACTAACTTCATTCTTATCTGAATTACAAATATTTGTTTCTGTATAAAATAATACTCTGACTAAAAACACATTTGATGTTTTTTTTTGGTATTTTTATTTACATGTATTTGTGTGTGTGTGTGTGTGTGTGTGTGTGTGTGTGTGTGTGTGTGTGTGTGTGTGGTGTGTTTGTATAAAGTGCAGGGTTTTTTTTAGATAAAGTAGAATTTCTATAACTATGTGTTGAACTAATAAATCACTCTTGTGTGTTAAACACAATCTACTTAATACAGACAACTTCATTATAAAGATAAATAACAAATCCAAAAAATATATGATTATAATCTATGACAAAAAAAGCCATTACAAACTATATTAATGGAAAATACACATTGCTCTTTGTATTGTTGTAAAATATTCATGAAAAACAAGATGACAAAAATCAAAAAGATAAATTATTTTAGATATAGCCATGTTTTAAATGTATAGCAGAGATGTTAATTGAGGCAGCAACATACAAACTTTCTAGAACAACATGGACCTGGATAGCTGGTTTTTATGGAGGACAGTGAAGAGGAAGAGGGTGCAAATCAAACAGCTCATTCTCAGACTACACAGCAAACAGCTTAAGTTTT